CGCCATTATCTCGGGACGAGCTATATGCCTTCGTAGACGCATACACAAAGGACTATGGCATCACCGAGAGCTCACCACGCGAAGAGCGGTTCTTTCGCAGCTCCATTCCTCCCTGGTTTGCGGCCTCCGCTCACCGGGTCACCATCGGTGTGGAACTTCCGATAGACCACTCAATAACTGACGAAGAAGAGCTGATAAGGGAAAAGCGCAGAGTCAGCGAAGAGGCTCTGGCGCTGCACAGCCATCGTTCGTGGATACTTGCGACCGATGGCGGTGTCGACGTTCCCAAGTCAGCAGGGGTTGGAATACTGCTTTCATCCCTCAACTCATACGGAGATAATAGAAAAGGCCAGTATAAACTGCGGCACACGCCCATACAGCTACAGGACGGAATCCCGTGCGCTGCTTCTAGCCCTAGAGAAGCTGATGATCCCTCGTATCCGCCACAGGCGTAAAACCCTGCTTGTGGTTACGGACAGTCAGTCTCTTCTAGCGGCTCTAAACAAGGGCCCGCTCAGTCAGACAGACTGGACGGAGGATCAGATCTGGCAGCGTCTCTTGACACTGACGTGTGCTGGCTGGTCCGTGCACCTGCAGTTTTGTTACGGACATTGCGGAGTACATGCTAACGAGCCTGCAGATCAGTATGCGACGCAGACTATGGAAAGTGGACAATACACGGAGCAAGGAATCGCACCTTTATGGCATACGGATCTGCCGACATGTTTTACTACCCAGCTCACCAACAAGTGGCGTAGTACCATTCGTCAAGACACTCATCGCTACTTGCTTTGCGGCACAAGGCCATCAGATCTCAGCGGTAAGGACCTGATCACTCAGGAAGTTCTACACCGTCAGGAACTGGTTCACCTCGCAAGGGCAAGGTGCGGGGAATCTGAGCTCTGGGGCCGACGATACTGGGCCATGAGAGATTGCACGAACCAATGCCGTTTCTGCAACATCTCACCGGAACAGTCTGCATATATGCGCTCTAACAACGATCCAACTGCACCGGGGACGGACACTGTTCCCCCGTCGGCGAGGGAGGAAGACGTCTCTCCAGTAAGGGGACAAACCGTCACACGCCGTCGGAAGGAGAAATGTCCGCACTGTGATTCCACGTTGACGGGATTCTCGGGTCTCGTCAGTCACTGTCGGTCATTTCATCCGGAACATCCCCCACCGCTTCCCGAGCTCAAATGTGATTTCTGTGACATGGTTTTCCCCACACGGAGAAGCACCGCACAGCACAGAAGTCGCTGCGCACACAACCCAGACGCCAACCGACACAGCAGTGCCAGGAGGCGATCTCTGCTGCCGCAGGATCAGCCAGCTTCCACAAGCACGCCAATTGGCCCGCAGGAAACCTTGCACCATCTGCTTCTAGAATGTCCAGGCACCTTGGCTGTGCGCCAACGGCTGGGCATTGAACAGGACCTTCGCCTCGGAAAGTTCTCTCAATGGCAGTTGCTTCATAGCAGGAAACTTTTGTCGTTGCTCGACCACCTCTTCGGCACTCAAATGGCACTGTATAGCTAGACGCGCTGGTAAGAGTAGAGAAAAAAAAAAATGCAGGCATCAGGTCATTATTTGAGTATGAAGCGAGCTGTGAAGGGTGAAGTGATCTTCGACGAGGATATACGCAGGCTATGCGATAGGGGCGTCAACAATCTACCGGGGCGGTCATTAGCTGCTGCGGAGGTAACAGCAACTGTTCATAACCCCAATAAACATTTCTTGGATGCAGCTGCCGAGGAGGCGAGGAACCCAACGACGACGAGCGCACCGGAGAAACTGGAGGGATGCTACGAGTCTGTGCACAATGCGAGGCGGAGTCATGCGGTGGAACTTCCGGACGGCGTGGAGCGAAAGAAGACGGGGACGGGAATGGGGGTGCATGAGGGGAGGCCAGAACAGTCATGGTCGTACAGGGAAGCTGACGACGCTATCGAAAAGAATGACGCTGCGCAGCAATTCGGTGCAGCACCTCCCGTGTTGATGGTGCTCTTCTCGGAGAAGGGATGGCCGTACTCGTGGAATATGATACAGGATCTTCCTGAGGACGTTTTTGTAAACTGTGAGGTGGATCGGGCGTGGCAGACCGTCAAGGGCGATGTAACCGCGTGGTTCAGCCCTCACGGTGGGACTGACTTTAAGCCCGAGCGACGTGTGTTGATTGGGACGCCCGGGATCGGGAAGTCGGTGGCTGCCGGCTCGTACCTCCTCTACCAGCTGCTGCACTGCAATGTCGAGAAACTCCAAGTGGTGGTCCACTGTTTTGTTGG